TCCCTCGCCATAATCTCAGCCCTACATGCCATCGGTTGTGATATCGACTTTTTGGTTCACCAACCGATGATCATCTCTTATCGAGGGATCTGCTTTCCTCAATCCGCCAAGGCTGTTATTGGACTGGGACTTCCTAAGGTCACAGTCAGTGACTTGTGTTTGCTTGCCGTTGTGGGCTCCCTGCGTACTTATGACACTTTTATGCGTGGCACATGGCGTTGAAGGTACATTTTTGCCATTTAATCTCACACCAGACCCAGTATGACGGTCACTTTGTGCCTGATGTGCGAGTCTTGACTGTGCTAGCGCACACTGCGCCTTGAAGAGCATTCACCATTGTTTGTCCTTTCTTTGGTTGTTGGTCCTTCGTGTTGTGTTCCCATACCAAAATCTTTACATACTTTGGGATTCACCTCATCAGACTGGCACTGTCCTTGGCATGATTTCGAATGACTCTCTCTTTAAAAATAAATGATAATATATAGTAGTATAGGACTACGTTTACTTCTTTCTAACCAATGAACTCGGGAAAAACCGAAATCCACCGATTGACGGTCTCAATGTATTTTCAATAAAAGATATAGACATGATTTTCGTTAACGGTAAGGAGGATAAAAGAGTGAGCGTTTGTCCAAGTTCACAGGTGATAAAAGATGAAGGTGCCACTTTAACGAGGTTACACCTAATTTTTGTATCTGACATGTAAATGCATGAGACTTCGTCAATTGGGGTGGACGGTCACCTCGGATTTACAGGCCAAATAGGGATGCTCCACTTATTATCCCTTAGTGTCCTACTGACCCCAAATTATGTAGATACAGTACATTGTCTACAGTGTCATAGTAGGGTATCTAACAAATCGTTACCTACTACCATTCGAACCACTTAGGTAACCATTTCTTTCTGCAAACGAAATCGATGAAGCTGTTCACTTTGTGTATGACTCCATCAAAATGCTCATGACTCCCACAAACATCGTTTTAGAATCCTACCCTAAAGCGGTCACCTCGTCGAGATGGTCGGGCTTGAGTGCTACAATGATCCTGCGAACTATACTGGCTGGAACTAAGTTCATTAAGGTTCAACCATGCGAGGAAGGCCAATGGGTAGCAGCCCGATGGAACACGGCGAGTCCCCGTACTGCGAGTAATCGTATTACGAGGCAGTCTGGAAGTAAAGTCATACTGTCCTGTGTTAGGAGTGTGAAAACAGTACATTTCCCCCTACCAATCAGCATGTCCATATTTATGAAAGCAGCGATGCTGCCTCCCTCCGAGGAAAAAAAGGTTACAAAGTCCACCCCAAAATCCGCACACTCCGATTGCTCAACAGTTGACCGTGACCGCCGACGCATTATTCATTACGGTCGAAATAGTTTAAAACCAATGAGCCTGGTGCTGCTCAAAAGGCACCGGCTGTGCGCATCTGTACTAGGAGCAAGACACTAATACCTTACTCTCTGCGCGCTCAGGCCAGGCCAGTCACCTACAGCCAAGTAGGTCAGACTATTGAGTCATTGGCTCCAGGAAGAGTCCCCCAAGAAAACCCTAACAACCGCGGTGTCGCAGTTCAGATTAGGGGCAAGGTCCCAGAACAAGACACGACATCTTCCCACTGCCTTGTAGGTCAGACTTTTGAGTCAAAGGCTCAAGATTGGGTACATCGACCAACCCTTTTTCTTCGGCCTGGGCAACCGGGAAGCATCACTCGCCCTTCCATCTCTTCAATTACCGGTCTCCCCTACACTCCCTCCCCACCCATCAGCCAATGCAGTGCAACCAACCCATCTGTCAATCCCCTTGCCACCATTTAGTGTATAAAGCTTCGCCCAGAAAAATAAACCAAAATAATCACCCACTAACCTCGAAAAATATGATCCACATTGCATCCTTCAACGTCCGTACTCTATGTCCAATTGGACAACAGACATCCCTTGCCGAAACCTTGCTTTTTCCTCTCTGTCGATGTATCTTGTCTCCGAAACAAGATCCCACTTCAACCGTGCACCTCAAGCCGCTAGAACGGGCTCAGACGTTCCACATATCACCCTTCGGGTACGCAGTGATCCCGATGCAATGACTCGTGTTATCTAAAGACATCAGCCTGGAATCCATCGCATCTAAAGTGCTCTCTGGCAATAGTTTGTGCAGGTTGACCGATTGTCAAGAGGCAGACCCGCGGGAATCAAGCTGAGTTACACCGTGACCGAGGATGCTTCGACCACATATTTACTTATAGATAAATTCGTGGACAGCACTGCTCCTCCAAAAGTCCCACGTTGGTCGCTTTCCTCAATTTGAAAGCTGCTTTTGATTCTGTCGATAGTCAGAATCTTTCGCAGTGTCTGGCGATCAAAGGCGTCTCTTGCAAATTTATACCCCCTATGAGGTCACTGTATACAAACACCTGTGGCGCGTAGAAATATACGGCAAACTTTCGCCTGAGTTCAATACGTCCAGTGGTGTAAGGTAAGGCTGTCCTCTCCAACCGTGACTCTTCAACTTTGTTAGTGATATGCTGCTTGAAATTTCTCTGCCTGCCTCTGAAATCTCGGGAGTCGAAATGTTCCCGGGACATTCCCTCACAGACATTGAGAATGCGGACGATATTGCCCTCCTTGGTTCGAATCCTTCAAAAATGCAGACGATTTTAAACAACCTAAACAACTCTGTCACACGGTTTGGCATGCGCTTCACACCTGCTACAAGACTGGGTGGGATCAAACACACACCTCATGCTTGAAGACGAACCAATCGACGTGGTAGATAAATTTCTGTACCTGGGCAGCTGTATAAGTTCCGGTGGAGTGGCTGGAGATGAAATTATTTCTCCAATCGGAAAGGTCAGGACAGCTTTTGCCAACCTCCGACACCTATGGCGCCGACGTGACGTCAGTTAGTCTGTCAAGAACAGAGTTTACACTGCGGTGGTGCGATGTATACTGCTCTACGGATGTGACGTTTGTTCTACTCGCGGAGGACATACGACAAATGTCAGTGTTTGAACATCGGTGTCTCCGACGCATCGGTTAAGTTTAAGGGCGATATCGGATTAGCAATGGAAGGTACGCCAGGTGGTCTTAGAAAGAAGGAACTCTCCCACGATAGACGAATTACTCACGCTTTGTAGGTTACGCTGGTTAGGACATGTACTGCGAATGCCAGAGGATCGTCTGGCTCACAGATATCTTTTTGCCCAACCTTGTGCTGACTGGAGGTGATCTAGAAGCAGGCCGTGTATGGCCTGACATAAAGTGCGGAAACACTAACCAGTAAACTTAGTCGGGTCGGTAACTGTTGCCTCCCTGGACGGGGACCCCGGGGCCCAACTCACAAATGGTTAATGACACGAGGTAGAAATGGCGCTCGTGCGTCAAAGCTCAGTGGTGTAAGGTAAGGCTGTCCTCTCCAACCGTGACTCTTCAACTTTGTTAGTGATATGCTGCTTGAAATTTCTCTGCCTGCCTCTGAAATCTCGGGAGTCGAAATGTTCCCGGGACATTCCCTCACAGACATTGAGAATGCGGACGATATTGCCCTCCTTGGTTCGAATCCTTCAAAAATGCAGACGATTTTAAACAACCTAAACAACTCTGTCACACGGTTTGGCATGCGCTTCACACCTGCTACAAGACTGGGTGGGATCAAACACACACCTCATGCTTGAAGACGAACCAATCGACGTGGTAGATAAATTTCTGTACCTGGGCAGCTGTATAAGTTCCGGTGGAGTGGCTGGAGATGAAATTATTTCTCCAATCGGAAAGGTCAGGACAGCTTTTGCCAACCTCCGACACCTATGGCGCCGACGTGACGTCAGTTAGTCTGTCAAGAACAGAGTTTACACTGCGGTGGTGCGATGTATACTGCTCTACGGATGTGACGTTTGTTCTACTCGCGGAGGACATACGACAAATGTCAGTGTTTGAACATCGGTGTCTCCGACGCATCGGTTAAGTTTAAGGGCGATATCGGATTAGCAATGGAAGGTACGCCAGGTGGTCTTAGAAAGAAGGAACTCTCCCACGATAGACGAATTACTCACGCTTTGTAGGTTACGCTGGTTAGGACATGTACTGCGAATGCCAGAGGATCGTCTGGCTCACAGATATCTTTTTGCCCAACCTTGTGCTGACTGGAGGTGATCTAGAAGCAGGCCGTGTATGGCCTGACATAAAGTGCGGAAACACTAACCAGTAAACTTAGTCGGGTCGGTAACTGTTGCCTCCCTGGACGGGGACCCCGGGGCCCAACTCACAAATGGTTAATGACACGAGGTAGAAATGGCGCTCGTGCGTCAAAGCTTCCGTCTGCAATGCGTAGCTATCCAGTTCACGAACTAACCAGATATGCCACCGCCCCCAAGGCTTGGCTGTATGTCCCACACTCCCGTTTTCCGCTGGCCGAAACTGTAGCAGCTGGGACCAATGTGCCTATGATACACGGTTTACAGCTGATAAATTAAATCGACTGAATTGAAAGCATGGATTTCTATTCGGCAACTAGTGAGCGGGGGTTCTCAAGATGTCTTCGCATGTGTAAATTTGATTCCGAAGCGTTGACTAAAACCAGTCTCTTCAAAGATTCACTAATTTAAGACTCACTCACGCTATTCCTCTCGAGTGCTATGACTTGCTGGACATTTGCTAAACTTTTGAAAGCTAGCATTGAAATTTGCCGAAATCAATTCGAATTCACCAGGTTGTTTATTAATTTTAATTGAGTATTGGTTTACGTTGAACAAATTTCCTTCTGGAGAACATGCGATTCTGCAATGAAACTGTTCTTTGGAGTTGCCAAACAATATTGTTCTAAACCCTACATATTACATGGTACCAAGGCGAGGTAACTGTTAAAGTTTAGCAACGCATTCATCCCATTTACTTGAAATTTCGTGGCAACTTGCTTCAGCGTGTCGCTTTTGGAAGTCTCATAAGCACCTTAGGGAACGGTTTATTTCATTGCGTTATGTCCAGTACTGTTGAAGTCAGATAGGCAAAAAAACCAGTTGCATTATTTGCCTCCCGGCCGTTTACGTAACATCATATCCTGGCGAGAGTACTCCACATCACCATGCCTAAACTCAATCCCTACTAACTCTCGCCAAGTAAGGAAGCAGGATCAGTATAGGCAGTCTTCAATGGCTAGTTCATCTGACTCCAAACCAACTTCGGCAAATTCGCGTCTCTCTTGGGGCATGCACCTATGTGTAGTAAGGGTTCCTAGAATTTTTTTATAGACGACCCTTACAGAGTACCCAGCTACGATTAGCGAAAAAACACTCGGTGGTTGATATCCTATCTCTCTTCACTTCGTTGGTGTGTCGACAGTTTTCATTTTTTCAGGCCACTTAGGTCACTTGTGTGAAGGGTAGTGCCACCTGCTTGTTCTTGCTCGATACTGCCACAAATAACAACATTAGCACTGGCAGTGGTGTTTGACTGCCATAAAACCATAGAACGGTTGCCACGGGGTGAACATTCAAGGTACACTGCGTGAACTTCTCGTTATTGTTGTGATCAGCCTATTCATGGCTTGCCAGTAGAAGAGTCCACTTACGCAATCAATGGGGCGTGGGCTTCGCTGATTTTATGGCGACCATCCTCAGGGGAGATCGAGTTTAATCTAAGGATACCTCGAGTGGCTGCTGCACATGAAGCATGATCAGCGGCATTGTTGGGACAATGACGCGTACGCATCCACGCTATTTTCTAAGACAGCCTCGTCCCACTAACAGATAATGTTCATCACCATCCTTGAATTCACTCTTCAATGAAGCAAGCTATTACTCCCATGGATAGCTACCTTCCCCCTTCTCCCCACCTCATCAGTGGACAGAACTGTACATGTAAACAGCTGATGAGCGAAAACGGTATTAGAATGAGTTCCACAATCTGAAAGAATTATTACCGTATGGCGATGAGAATAAATGTAGCAACGGTAGTAGAGGAAAACTTTGCTGATGTCCACAAACGACAACCCAAAGAACAAACAGTGGAAAAACTGGTTTTACTTGGAAGTCCCACCAAAATGCAGCCAGAGACACATTCAAAAGGTCAGCTGATTAGCTTGATGACTTGATTTAGCCGACTAATATTAGTACTAATGATTTTTAATTCTAAGTAGAAGAAAAACATCAGACAATACCGCCTGTAGGTTGTCTGAGTCAACAGCTAGTTAGGCTAAGAGTCACACCTAATCCAACCTCGCCAAGTCGATAGGGTTTTTGGCGGACGAATAGTTCACTGATAACTTCTTCTAAGATGGTTACGCGACCGGTCACATCGACACCCACTTGACTGACCCCAAATAAAAATGGAAGGCCAGATGTGGTAAAGCTTCCTGGGACTCTATTGTGGAGACGGATTCAGATTCAAAACATAAAGACTCAAACGATGGAAAATAAACCTATATATGGCCATAGGTGTCGGTGCACACTGGTTGCCAAAGAAATGGTCAGGAAAAGTGCATACAAAAGAACGGATAAAATGAACCTACTGACTGTGGGTTACGTACCTGAGAAAGGGGACTCTGTGCAGCTAGGAGACGTTCAGCTGCGGATCCATGCCGCTCGCCTTTACTGTCCTTTTTGAAAGCGTAAGATATAGTGATAGCCCGGTTACACAAATATTGGCCATTCATCGCTTCGATAGCCGCATCACTGGCCTCGAAGCTAGCAAAGTTGATGAATGCATATCCCTTGGAATTTCCAGTCTCGGGGTCACGCATAATTTTTGGGGTCTGTAGAATAACACCGAAAGCGCTGAACGTATCATAAAGTAGTTTTTCGTCAACCTCTGGGTCGAGGTTTCCAATGAAAATGTTGGCTCCAATGTCCAAATTTTTTTGATTGGCTGACGCCTTGTTCACACGTATCGGTTTACCAAAGAGTTTGATCATATTCATGATACGCATCGCATAGTCCGCATCCTCCTCGGTCATGAATTCGACGAATCCATATCTGATGGATTTAAAGATCATACAGGATAGTATAGGGTGAAAAGCATGACACATGTAGAAGGCATGGGTTGCGGGTAGAATAACTGACACAAGAAGGTCGGCACACACTGGCTTTAAACATTTCACCATGTTTAGCAACAATCACGAGCACCGGACATTTTCATTTCATCTGAAATCACATAGCACAAAAACCCTACATGGTTGAGCACAGATGATTCGTGCGACGTTCCGATGCATGGGGTAATCTGATTCCAGCCAACAATTGGACTGCAAAACCGCTCCCTGAGTCGGTTAGACTGCTGAGAAATTGAACTGAATGTGAGCCTTATGATATATATCTTATGAGGCGCCTGTGTAACTACTTGATGAGTGTATGCATTGCTAGGGATACAATGAATCGCAAGTAAATTTTTGCCAGAATGACACCAGAACATTTAAGCAGCTGTGGAACACTTGACACAGTAAGACCAATATGCATGATATGCTAGTCAAACAGCCGAAGTGATCACGCCACACATACATAAGTAGTCACCTCAGAAAAACCTTTGCAGTTAGAAGGCAGAAGATATTTAAATATGAACTGAACAATTATCCTCATTTTAGGCGTTGTTTCCTAAAGAGGTTCAGTAATTTACTATCACAAATAACTAGAGTTATCTCCGGTAACTTACCAAGAAGTCGCACTGGTCCACTCAAACGAGCCTACCAATGTAACCAACCACCTTAAAGGACCATTCAGGGGATGCCGTGAAGTCTCACCTGGAGGCATTGTTGTAGCTCGTTTTCAAGACGCCGCACCCATCAGCGGGGGGAAATAGTATGGTGAAAGTTAGGCGTCTTAGGAAACGAGTAACGGCGTACTTTGCCCCAGGTGAAATACTCTAATGGGGTTTGTCATCATGTGGCGTCTGTTGCTGGTGACAGTGTGTTTCACTAAAGTGAAAGACGCCGTAACCTAGTTGATGAGTCATTGGTTCTCCACCTAGGGAAAATGACTAAACCCTGAATCCAAACCAACAACGATGGGAACGTGAATCTGCCCCAACAGAACATGCGAATGAGGTCTTTGGTATTCAATGGCCATGATGGTAATGCCGCATGGCCGCTTTCTGAAAATCTCCCGCTGCCTTGCAGGTTCCACTCATCTGTGTAAAGACTAGAGGCTCTCCTCGAAAAAAGAGCTCCGCTGTCTTGGGAGTGGGGTTCTTCAACTACTGACTCCGGTTGGATTCCCTTGAGATACACTCACTCTGGTAAGGCAGCTGGGAAGTACAATGCCCACTAACCAAACATGAGGCCACATGAACTCTATACGTAACAGCAGCTCAAACAATTGTATACCCCATCTTGGTCTCACGCGGCCTTATTTTAAACAACAATGAGAGGTATCCTGGTCACTTTATCCCAACGATCAATCCTAACCGGTCGTCAGCGAAGCTACCTCCTTCAACGTTACAATACTCATAGAAATTGAACAGCAACACATTCTTCGTCTGCTTTGAAGGGATTTCACACAAATTCTCGTCGTGTCGGAAACGCGGCCGTACGAACCCAGCTCACCGTTTTTTACAGAAACTGTCCTCAACAAAAACCGCATAAGCTGCGCTGCCCTGGAGAATTAACGGCCTTGACGCCAGAAACTGTTGAGAAAGTTGCCTTCAGTTACCGTGTAGAAGGCCCTCATCGACCAATTAACAGCATACTTTGTGCAGTCAGGTTAACAGGGTTTTGCAGGATGAGTCACCAAGGAGTCGTTAAATACAACGTATTTATCGCTTCAGCCTACGCACCGAGGAATCAAAGGACGGGTTTTAGACGCATTTGAGTCAACCGAAAAGCTTATCGTTCCGATATAATATAATATATAATATAATTATAATGTAGTATATATAATTATAATATAATATAATATAATATAATATAATATAATATAATATAATATAATATATAATATAATATAATATAATATATAATAACGGAAGACTTCATCGGACGGGCTGGAATACTCGGTTGAGAAGCTCAATTCGAATATCTAGCACTTGCTTACGGAACGTCCTGCACATCCTGCAGGCAGTTAACAAATGTCTGAAGGCTCTGAGGTCTTCCTACCGAGGGGGTCAAGTTTCACGAAAGTAAAATAGAGCTGCTCTCAGTCGTTTTATGGATACAGCCCTTTGACAGATGAAGTCATTTCTGTCAGATCGCGCAGCACTGAGGCGCTAGCAGTATTTGCCAACTTGCGTCACCTTTGGCGTGAGAAACTTATATTACTGAGATCAGTGTGCAGTTACGGACTATGAGGTTGTCAAGATAGATAAACCAACCAACAGACTCAAGCTCTTCATCCTGGAGTTCCAAGAAGGTACAAGAGGGCTGGACATTTTTGCACTTTGAAGATGCCAAAACAGTCGTCTTCGGTATTTTTTCTACCAACCTGACGTACGAGTCAAGCTTGATTGCTTCAGTAATCCCGCGGACGACATCGCCTGGAAATCTCTTCCACAAGATGGAGCCATCCCGGAAGGGCCAAAGGAGAGCGGTGAGCCCCGTGCTGAAGGGTATGGAGGTAGGACTGTACTGTCCCCTGTGATGGGAACGTGAGCGCGACTAGTATGTCCATATTCATGGAAGCTGTTTTCCTCCTATAAAAGGACGGGTCAGGAAGTCGGCCCTAAAAACCTCACACTTCGACCGCCCAACAGTCAACCGTGATCGGTGGATACGGTGGAAATACAGTAAAAACTTGCTAAGAGCCCGATGAGGCTCCAAACACATCTGTTATGCGCAGCAGCATCGCGATTGAGATAGGTATGCACTTTTGAGTTAGGCCACCCTCCAGCAACCAGACTACTGAGCCATTAGCTCCAGATAGGGTCCCCGAGGAAAGACCTACTGCCTGCTGCATCGTAAGTCAGACTTATGAGTCAAAAACTGCGGTCGGAGTACCGGATGGAAACAGTCCATCCTCCCACTGCCCTGGGGGTCACACTAGTATGTCAAACTCAAGGTGTGGTACCTGGAACCAACCACTTTCCTCGGTCTGGAAAACCGGTAAGCAGCATCCGCCCTTATACCTCTTCGTGCATCGGCTTTCGCCAACACTGTCTCCCCAACAAACGAATAATGCAGTGTGGTCAGCCCATCTGCCAGTAACCTAACCACGGTTGCGAGTGTAAACTGTAACCAAGCGAAATAAACCAAAATAACCTCTTACTAAACTTCAACGTCCATATTCTTTGTCGAATTGGGTAACAGGTATCTTTTGCCCAAACCACCAGTCGACGAACGTTGTCTACAAAAAATCGGGCGGGGGCTCATTAAGGGTGTGCACCTCAAGCCGCTTAGGACAAGCTCAGATGTTCCACATTTCACTTTTCCGGTACCTGGTGATCCCGACACAATGGATAGTGGTAGGACATGAGAGTTGCGCCCAAATCCCAGGACTGAATGCGACCGCATAACAATAAACAGTCGCCCTCCCGTCGTACGACTTGTGGTGTCAGTATACACCTTGAGAAACTGTAGCCCTGAAGCTGAGGTCAGCAAGAAAACCGAGCAGTCATCGTAATGGGCGAATGAACGCCCGAATTGGATGATTAGGCCCGGAAGTAAAACAGTCGAGTAATAGATTTAAAGTCGATGCTCAGCGTAAGGATAATGGAGGACTAATTCTTCCCTCATGAGCTGGAAAATGTCTGTTGTTGGCTAGCATTGGCTTTCAGTTCCAGTGCTCCAACCGAGTTACTCGGAAGCTACCAACCGTAAGCTAGCCATCAGTGACTGTCAGTTCGTGATGGAAAGCCCCAACTGCCAATCCTTCTGGGGTACGCATCTTGCCTCCAATCATGCCTCGTGTAGGCTAGGTTATCCTTGGCTTCCCCTCAGCCTCATGCTTGCCGAAGCAGAGCGATTCCGGTGAACAACTTCAGTGAGTTTCAGTACCCCAGCGGTATCGAATCGACCTGGCTAGATGGTTACTGGAAACGCAATTACGCTAGTAAAGATGGTCGAAAGACTAGTTGAACTCAAAAGCTGGATAGTCAAGATCCTGAGGGCTATTAATGAGCGCTGGTGGATTGTGAAGTCCCAGGAGATGAAAGCGTCCGCTGTAGGCAACAACTGCGCTGTTTTGGCCAAAAGAGAAGACTGTCAGCAAAACACTAATTCACTAGCAAACTTTCCCCTTTACTCCCAAGGGGAAGGCGGTCTTCAACCACCGACAGCACCTGCTCAAACTGTTCGAAGTGACGCGCGCCCCGTTGTAGCCGCACCAAAGAATGGATATCACGAGGAACTACCTGATACCAAGGCTGACATATTCGCTCGTGCTCGGCCAAGTTCACCAAAACACGCTCAAAAGATTGGACAACTACATCAGGCAATATATTCGCGGCTGGCTACGTCTACCGAAGGACACTCCGATCAGCCACATCCACGCCGGTAAACAACATGAGGGACTTGGTATCCCAAGTCTGAGTGCAACAATCCCGATGACGGAGAACGCATATGAAAAAGCTCCTTTCTACTCAGTACCGAGTACTACGCAATAAGGTCAACGATTCCGCATTTGGCAAAATTGTTCAGGATCTTAGCCTTCCGATCCGAGTCCACGGTGCATGCGTAAACACCAAGGAAGAGCTGGTGACTGCATGGGGTGATAGTCTACACAACAGCGTTGACGGCCGCGTTTACGAGAATTGGTCGTTTCGCCTCTCTCGAATCGATGGCTCGTATTTCCAGAACGGGTGTTTCCTCGGATATTTATCCGCGGTATCGAGCTCCGATGCAACCTGTTCAGGACTGGAGTTAGAAGTGCTCGACATGGTCATGGTGGCCAGACGATCTTATTTCGTGGAAACTGTGGTCAACCGGAGAGTTTGGTGCATATTTTGCAATCCTGCTGGATCACGCATGATGCCAGAGGTGCTCGTCATAATCGGGTTGCAAGGGAACTCGCAAAACGTCTCCGTCGACTGGGATACACCGTCTTCGAGGAGTTGGGAGCACCTACTTCGACGTGTTTCACCAAAACTGACCTAATCGCTGTTCGAGATCCCCGAGCAACTGTAATAGACGTCAGCATAGTCTCGGATGGGCGCGGAGTGACCGTGTGGAATGAGAAGAAGCAGAAATATGGTGCTGATGAATACTCCCTCGTCACAATCTCAACCCTACATACAATCGGTTGTGATGTCGACTTCTTGGTTCACCAACAGATGATCACCTCTTATCGAGGGATCTGCTTTCCTCAATCCGCCAAGGCTGTTATTGGACTGGAACTTCCTACGGTCACAGTCAGTGACTTGTATTTGCTTGCGGGCTCTCGGCGTACTTTTATGTGTGGTAAATGGCGCTGAATGTACATTTTCGTCATTTAACCTCACACCAGACCCAGTGTGACGGACACTTTGTGCCTGACGTGCGAGTCTTGACCGTGCTAGCGCCTACCGTGCCTTGAGGAGCATTCAACATTGTTTGTCCCTTCTTCGGTTGTTGGTCTTAAGACGCGTGTTTCCATTTCAAAATTTTTACATACTTTGGGATTCATCTCATCTGACTGGAACTGTTGTTGGCATGAATTCGAATGAGACGTTTCTCTCCTTTCTCCCATATTCTCCTGTTACCCTATCGCATTCATCGCTTGCATTCACTTTTTATGCTTGTGACCATGCTCTTCAAAAATAAATGATAATTGTTGTAAGGTAACAATCAATGGAAGCGGTATGTTTTAGAAGAATTGAACAGTGCACGAAGTAGGAGTTGCAAGAGTAGAATAAACAGTTGGGTCTGTTTCAAAAAATTCCTATTAAGGAAATCAGGGGAAACAAACGCAGTTGGTCGTAGCCCTGAGATACCAATATCCAGGAACACCGAATACCACGCCAGTAGGAGCAAAAAGGTAAAATGCTTAGAGCAGATAGAATGCCAGCGAAACCAAAAGAGTGGGCAAGTTTTGCGCTACCTTCGACATAAGAGCAAGCGCTTACAGATCACAATATCTGGCTCATGGACCTTGAGGATGGCTGATAATGGTACAATCACGCTAATAATGAGATTGTTAGACATTCAATGTCTGCGATCAAGCATCTGAGGCAACTTGATTGATATCAGTTGCGTTCTGGAAGTACCGTCTAACCAGAATTAGTGACAGAAAATCGAAATACAGGTTTCCAAACAGGACTATCGGTTGCTGGTTTGCATGAGTTGGAAATCTCTATCGGGCATCCCGGAATCAACAGCATAGGTTAGGAATTACTACGAACACCGTAAATGTGGCTGTCTTCTGCACGACGGAGTTATTGTCAGTTTGATTTACACATGTCCCTAAGGCGGACGCTCTGGAAGCAGCACCGGCATACAAGAACCTATCGAAATTGACGCAGCCCCCGATGAACAACTGAAGGCATCAAAATACGCTCATACCTAAACCCATTTGTTTTCGACGTAGTTAATCTCATGAACCGGGTTTAACAACGGGGCATACAACAATCCGGGTTTATGCAATCATGTAACTTTCACGAAAGAGCTTTAACCGGATTCGAGTAGCACCACGGGCACCTCGTCATGCGTCATGAACGAACGTGACACGGCGACCGATTTCTACAGCATATCAACCAAAAATCTAATACTACCCTCTGCTGTTTGCAATGCGTCGTTATCTACCTCTCGAATAACAGGTATATGGAAGCGTGCGGCCTAGAACCACAGTACGCTCGGCATGAAGCGCAAGTTCACTTCAGACACTAAACTTCGTGGAGTAAGAGTGTAAATTAATAATTAAAGTTTGTCAGGAGCAAACGGACAGATTTATTCTAAACCACCAGTTACTCATTGCAGGACAATGTACGTTAGTAGTACTTTACCCACATTTATCAAAGTGAGAGCGAAATGCACAGAAAACATAGATCAAACAGTAGTAAAGCTATCACTGAGAGTAAAACACCAGTGTTCAACCCAAGCAATACTTCATTGTCGACGAAAATTACTGTATCACCTGTAATTGCTGGTAATATTTTTTAACCATAAAGCGGTATGAGTCGTGTTTCACCAGAGCACTCCCAGTCCTTGATAGACTTTGTCATGTGCCATGGGTAAGAGCTGCGCAGCCGCTCTGAGCAGATGAACTTGCCGACATCATTCTGGTAGAAACCGGTCTTAAAATGACCTATGCATCGACGATGGTCTTGGGGATGAAAAAGACGCACAGACGTCATTCATAAATATTTACAGAGTATACACATGTGGTTCCTACACTTCATATCTGGCAGTCCGGTCCTTATGAATGGTAAACTTTGAGTCTTGGAAGTATAATGCCCGATCAGAAGGTGAAGGAATACATCTCTAACATAGTTTCGAAATGACGTTCGCGTTGAGCTCTTCGTCGGTCCACCTTGCCTAGAGCAAGAAGCGGTGGGAAGGCTTCTGGAAATGCTCATTTGACGGTTACTTGAATACGGTATACCAGCGTGTTATGACCTTAGGTCATACCGATAACTACAGAAGTGGACACATCACAACCAGGTGTATTCTATAAAAATCATCCAGCTGTAGCACCCTTTCGGCGCCTAGCTGCCATACCACACGAAGGAGGCACGAAGGCTGAGATACTGGCAGGTCGCCAAAGCCTAGACAGGGGAAGTCGAGTGGCAGAGGTCGGGTTCGAACTACGGACCTTCCGGTCAGTAAATTCGCGCTCTAACCACTTGGTCCATCTATAAATGAACATGGCATCCCAAAATGAGTATTCACTCTCGAATGCGCGATTGTTGTTTCGGCGTTGCGCAGGCTTTCGGTATAGGAGTCAAAAAATCAGCGAAGGCAGAGAACAAGACAGAGCATATGTAAGCCTAGAGTGAAAAAGTAGCATCTCCGGCTTGCACTGTTTCTCTAGGATAGTGAATCCGTGAAAAATACCGTTGAAATGGTACCCCGCTACCCAGAATTCATATGAATTCATATGAACAACTAAAAAGCAAAACAGACTGAAAATAATGAACTGACACAACCAGTCTTACCCTCGATCCCGTCCAAATATTCAGACATCAGGTGCACAGTGGCGCAGACTGAAACAAGGTTCATCTCATCTGACCCTGAGTCTAAGTTGCGAGATCACAAAATGTTAGTGAGTTTGCTATGCCAAAAGAGAACTTAGAGTGCGGTCAAGCTTAATTCGCTCCTCTAGCTGCAATGCTGCCTACCGCACAACTCCCCGGAATCGTGCTGACCTAAGGGTGACACGTTTTAGTGGTGGTAGGGCTTCAATGCATCATCATCAAAGGCAGCAACATCAGTGTTGACACTGTTGCTTCACTGCCGTACTCCAATGAGGGCAACACCGACTGGAACCCGAGTCGAATAAGTGAACACTGGGTATCAACGAGATCAACAGACCGCAACCAACAAGTGATGGCACACGCAGACCTCTCAAACACTAGACAATGAAGAGTCCGAGAATGACAGTAAACGATGGGTAACGAATAACTAGCAGCTAGACAAGGCTTCCGCTGCAGGCGAAAGTCGTGTCACATTTTAGCTGGTCTAGTCAACCGGTCAGAAGAGGATAGGCGTCAGCGAAATAGTCTGCGAAAAGGTTGAACGGCAATTTATCTGAAAAATAGTCGGCTTGAGTGGTGGGTTGAATATTTTCAACATTTCAGATAGCCCCCTTTAAACATACTCTCCAGAAGAACCTAACGCGCCAGAACAGAACATCGACACCAGCCCACCGTGAACAACGAATGTCACATTGAGATATTTCCCTAGCGGACCAAGAATTTACAACTGAGAACTTCATCCGAACTACCCTGATAAGAAAACCACGTGAACAATCTTGTTCTAGAATATAAAGGCCAAAAATAGTCTTTTAGGAGTGTACGGATCACTTGCGTTGAAACCGGTTGGGAAAAGAACGGTGAGGTCGTTGGTCGACGACCTTAAACTCAAATACACATCTGGATAGAGTGGTCTGCATTGGTACTATCAAGAATACTAAACAATACATCCTAAGCTGCCCTACTCTGATCAAAATTCCAACTGGAATCGTCTCATCATATAAGGCACATGAACTTACCCTTGGTGTTGCATGGTAATTCGATCTTTTGGCATATGGACGTTCACTACGGGGCCCGCCTGAAGAAACAACTCCCAAAGTATGGACTCGGTAGTTTTTTCATCCAGTCCACCCACATATATCGTGGCATCCTGATTACGTTCCTCGACACCACCGACCGTCATCGCTCTTTGGGTGATATGGCGTATCCACGCCGTGACCTTGAAACCCTGAAAATAGGTGGTGCAAGTCATAAGTGATCCCGAAAGTTCTCATGACATATCTTTCAATCAACGGATGTCTCTGACGTTTCGTGAACAGAAAAAATCAGGTGTGCACAATGGTACACTAGTATAGAAAACTGGCCGACTTTTTAATATGCGTTCAGTGACCTCAAATTTTCACACAGTGAATATATTGTCAAACCAGGGGCTATTAATCCGTGGCTCTAACATTGTTCTAGCCTATTTGTATTAGGCGTCCCTGACCGCTTTCTACCCTTCGAGTTGCGGGCCTCATTAAGTCCCAGAGTATCCGAAAAAGCGACGTGCTTCTTGCCAAACTATGTCGGTTCAGTCTGTTGAACACGGAGGTTCGACATGCTCGGAAAAGAGATAGCATTGGACGCCCATGCGCGTGTTTACTTGTGATCCGAGGTATTCTCGACTGAGGCATTGGAGCACCTGCTAGCCTTACAGCGCAAGTCCGATGAATAGCGCTGGGCATATCCTCACGTGGCAGCTTGTTTCCGCTCTTAGCCCTGTTTGCCCTATTCCTTCCGTTTGTATTAAGATGAAGTGGCTGTGTGCCTCCGAGTGCTTATATATAAACGGATTACTTGCATCAGCTCACTTGTCCTAATTCAGAGCAGCCGGCCTCGCTGTTAGAGCATGTTCACGCGCATCACCAGCTAGTCTGATGCGATTGGCTTCAAATAATTGGTGGGATAGCTGGACAGTTGGCGTGTACGCTTACTTTTAATGTCACCAAACTAAACGAGTATGTCGCCACATTTTACGCTCGACATTGACAAAACTGAAGCTTCTCCCGTGGTTGCTTGGATTCAGTGGTGATTTATACCCGACATTTTCCTACCCTTAGTATGGTATGAGTGGATTCGCAATGACTGGAGGATACGAACTCCTAATTTCTCATTTGCGGGTAATGCATGTGTGTGAAGTTCGAAGTTGATGGCTTATGTCAGTTCAGTGAACTCACGAAGCGGAACGGGTTCAAAGTGAAATCATGTGTTGTTCGGCCTAATGCATGGTTAGCAAGAGCTCTATGGAATGCTTATAATTCGTAACATCATTCATCAACTCTGGGTGGGTATTTGAAAATCCCGAATATCCCAAATGGCAATGAGCAAAACACTTCAACCCCTGAACAGAAATGTGCACGATCAAGTGTGAAAATGTTCCTGCTGGATAAATCAGCCGTCATGCATCGATTTTTATGTGCACGCCAAGTCATTTAAATTTATTTAGCGCATTCTGTAATTTCTCTTCTGTTTTCGCCATGATCGGTATCTGCCGAACCTTATGGGCTTCACGGATTCACAAATCAATACACAGGATCGGAGAGTTCGCCCAGGGTCCCGGGTTGGTTTGAATCTTGTCGTTCAGCGGTTGTAGTTCTCTAAGTCAATGCGTTCTACGGGGTACGATCGGTTCATATCGTGGGCGAGTTATTTCTCCCAAAAACCATTTAACGTACTCCTGTATTAATGACCATGTATTCTCACTAGACTCGGGCAATGCTCTGAATATATTGATGGTCACCCGCCGAAATGTTTCTGAGGTTCTCAGTGCGCACTGGCCATGATTCTGATTCGTATGGTAAGGCGCAGCGCACCGCAGCATTCCGGACTCGACCCCTGACGGATAATTTGATGTCATGCCTACGCCATAGGTGGTTCAGCCAATGAAATTTGTCCTGGCCTCCCCAATCCGGATGGATATATAATCTTTTCTGAGACCACCGAGACTGACAGAACTGCCGGGTTAGCGAACCTGTCTACTTCGTTATTCGGTTCACCTGCAAGCATGAGGCTAGGGTTCAAGCCAACCAATTCTTGCAACGGAAGCACCTTACACTTTGCAAGTGTTGAGCACGTGCCAAACCGTGCGGTACTGTTGCTTCAATTATTAAATTTTGTTCGCAGTACAACAGTGTCAGATCAAAAACGGTTATGTCGTCCGCGTATTGATATCCATATTGCAACGGCTAAGGAGCCTTTTGACCCCACAGGCGTCGGAGGCCGGTAGTTTGCCCTCCATAGTCATGTCAGGGACGGAGCTCAAAGAAAATATGAAAGGAGGCAGTCGTGCTTGACACTACCTAATGTGGTGAACTTAACTGAGAGCTTCCCGTATCCCTTCACACGTCCGAAGGAGCTGGCCTACGGCGCATTAAGGAAGGTAAAAATTTATAGATGACCTATTTGCTCCACAAGCACTGCCACAGTGCCCGGCGGTCCACAGAGTTAAGTGAAGGAGGAAAAAATTGTTGTTTGCTGGAAGTTGTGCCAGTGTTCCAGAATCTGTCGGAGGGTGAAAATATGGTCTATGCATCCCTGTACAGGACGGAACCCAGCTTGGTTTCCATGGGTCCGTCTATCCCGGTGCTTAGTCAACTTTCGAAAGGATAGGGTCAGAGAGCACTTGCTGCAGCCAATAGGCTAATGACACGCCGGTTTCTACACAGCGTTCGCGTACCCGTTTTTAAGATAAGGATAACTACCTATATTCACCTTCTCTTCGTTCCATATAGCACCAATAAGCTTTGTCGGCTAGGTCACCAGGGGTTCTCCCTCTTCTTTGAGGGGGTGGGGCATGGGCCATCCGGTCCTGTTGCTTTCATTTTCATACTTTATTTCTTCTTCTGACTGGCAATAAAGGTCTACATTCCACTTGCCCTTATGCATTTTCCACAATGGCCGTGTTCCAGGGGGCCAGACTGTTCTTTGAAGTGTTCGTTCCATCGTTCCAGTCGGTGCTTTGGTGACTGAATTAAGGAGCGGCTATTCTATCTAACATTTCGCTTACCTTTGCTTTTCCGGGGCCAGTGTGTCATATCAGTTGATATAGGGCACAGCGGTTTCCGGCAGCAAAACCTTTCTCCATCTCCTGAGATTTCGATGTGCACTAAAGCCCTCGGTCTTTCCTCAGACTCTTCTTCATTTTATGCTGGTGGTATTAGCGTGTGTCCTCAGACATATCGACGTCTGGTATGGATTCCCTGTGGCGTTCACGATAGCAAGCATTCGTTTGATTACATCGGAAAATTCGGAAATGGTGCTCCGAACATATTTTACATTCTGTCATGCTTCATCCACGTGCTCCTTGCCGGTATAATATTGGTTTATTGTCGAGAGCTGATAGGATAACTCGGATAAATGCTGTTGAGCTAGGGTAGTTCCCAAAAGATGGTTGACTGGCGTCTTCCTACTGAGTTCCGGGGACTGGAGGGAAACGAACTCTCAGGTATGCACGCGACTTGCGTGCAGGAAGCGTGAACTACTCGGAAACACGTTATGTGCCCCAGAGTGGACGGCAGTCTTGAATTTTGGCTTTGAAGGGGGCTGATGACTACGTGATCAACCTTGGGTCCATTATTGACCTGGTATTGATGCCTCAGATTATATGATGCAAAAGTTTAAGCTAATCAGTCCGTCGTGCGATTGCTGTACTATAAACTAGATGCAACCTCTCGAGTGTTGCGTCAGCCACTCAGAAGCATAGCTGTGCACGTTCGACAAACACTGCACGTCGACCTCCCAATTCCTCCGGAAATAAACAATTTCGGTCATTGGTGTACAGCCCCGGATCTTCCCTGCATTCCAGTTTTTCATCATTCTTGTAAACCGTGGTTGATGCACACTAATCGTCCTAAATTTTCCTTATCAAAACAGCCATGCATACGCTAGACGACCAAATGCTCTTCAACAGAGGTGAATCCACAATATTTCAGTTTCCTGATGTAAGCATTTCTGGTACCCCAGCTACCACCAAAAATGTAAGACAGTAATTCCCTTTATTTTCGTGACATTCCCTGCAGCTTTAGTCAGTATAATTTACATCCCGGTTCAACCATCTCAGACACTACCTCTTTATTTGTGTATGGACCCGTTGAAACCTTCTTCCAAAAAATCTCATAACTAGGCAGTGTGGCAGAGGGTTGAGGAGACTTGCACTTGGCACCTTTGACAACAGCAACACGAACTGCGATGTCCCCGGACATTCCGCCACTTATGTTGCCAACATATTTCCCGCAGTCCTCCTTTAGGACGCGGAACAAATTTATTTTTGGAATCTTTAATCAGCCTGTAATACAGTCGACAATGACTTTAAATTATTGTTGGCTCTGTGAGTCACCTTGAGCTTGAATGTGTTACTCATTCGTGGCGCACGAGTTCAATTTTTGTTCTATTCCAACGAAGTCTACCGGAATCAATGGGTTTGGTGTCCAGCTGTATGAGTCAAAAGCACTCATCTCACCGCCTAATCACATGAGCCGGCCAAGTTGACACAGGTGTCGGTTCCCTCATTGCGAACGTAGAACTCTGTTGAGGGACGACCAAATGTCAAATCACGTCGGGCTGAAATGAAGGTGTCACATTTGTATTTATATGGGCGATCGCCCAAAGAGAGAGCGAACTAGGCCTGTCTGCTTGCACCACAGTAACGTTTTGCATACACAAGTACCTGGAATTGGTAAATACCCTAATGTTTCAGGCGTCGGGCCCGTTGAGGTTACTCACCATGCACACGTATGCTTTCGAAAACACCGCCTACATACCCATTAATAGCTGTATCATCAGGGATTTAAAGTGATGATGCTGATAATATGTTTGCTTTTCGGCACACGAGGGACACATGTAAAAGCAGGGTCAACTGTTTGCTACTTGAAACTGTCGGCAAAGGCACAGCGGAGTGGGTGAAACCTAAGTGACAATAATATTCCGTGATGAAAATCCGTAGTTCTGGAAACATAGTAGAGTGATAAAGTCAGGTAAGGACGAGCACTTTACCGAGGTCAACCAAAATAAACCGAAGTTGAACCAGCTGTCAACGAGTAATGCCCTAAAATGGCTAGCCTAATGGCCATATCAAAAAGATGTGCGAATTTGTGTAATGATATGCCAATATTTGTTGTGCTGGGACTTTCTTTTTGCATCCAAGAATTGCGGTGCACACTGAAATTAGATAAAGTTACCGATTTCTTTTTGGATATCTGGGAAGCAAATTTGTTGAGATAAGTAAGCATGTGTGGGAGAAGTGATGCTAGTGCATTGAATAGATTGCGCTCCAATGAGAAATTCATTATCATCAAGGGTAAAACAAGCTGAAATAAGGTGGGACTTTGGGTCAACCAAATACGTGGAAGGGATTGAGCAAATCGAACACCCATCACGGCATCTTAGTCCGGGTGAGCAGGATTTGAACTTGTGAGGCTGTGGCTGTGGGGCAGAGGAAGCATTGGTAAATGCATGTTGAAAATAGTTGCGACTGTGCTATCAGAATGGCATGGTAGTGCCATGCCCGTGCCGTACTTTGGTATCTGGACTGCTCTGAAAGGGGAACCCTGTCTGAGCATCTTGGCTAAGTAGTTGACCTGAAAAGCGGGTCCACAGGCACCGTTGTGTATCGATGACACAAAGAAAAATTCATCCAATTTTGTATGGGAGAAACACGAGACTTTACGGAATCAATGCACCTCACGACCTTGCGCGGAACTGAACGATACTTACTTGCTGCTCTCAATGAGCGAGCCTTAGTAAGCTGCGTGACCATGCAAGCTGGCTGAAAAAGGCCAACAATCACAGTTGTATGACGCTAAAAATTAGCACAGGCACACTCAGCTGAATGTCTTAGCTATTTCTAAAGCGCCACGAATCCATCCATGTTACCATCCCGTCCAGCGGTATTGCAACTACTACAACTCCAAAACATTTGGACGATACAACCTTGACGTATACAGGAGAATTGAAAATTGATGCACTTATATCCTTCGGTTTCTGGACTGCGATGTAACGGACGTCACGGTTGACGTGATCAGACAGGGGATGTACAGTACTCTAGTCATCGATGGTTTCGTTGACGAAGGAGACAAACATCGGTAGGATAAAACTTTTGTGGACTCACGGGACATAAAATTTCATTTGGATATCTGTGAATGGAAGGCTTAAACCAGGCAAAATACATTACGACTGTAAGAGCGTTCGGAGCAGCTACTGTGAAAGTTCAAAGCATAGCAAGTTGAAGAAACACGGGTAGATTAGAAGGACCTTCAATGAGGGGGTATCAGATAAACTGGAGTTAAATACTGCGGAAAATCTCACCCGAAGTTTATGCCACTTAGCCCTACGACTGACTAGCGTGCGTCCCTCTTAAGCTTTAATTTGCTGTGTCCAGCGATGCATATGGTTACCGTATACCACTACCGAATAATTGATGTACGCACGGGTCCCTCATTATCGCAAAATGAAACTAATTGAGCAAGTAGTGAGGTCACCTTTATAACGGCAAGACTCCAGCTTTAGTGTGGACACAGGAATTATACACAAAAGGATTTATCAAGAAAACTGTGAGTTAGCCACTGCAACTTTGTTTACTTATTCGTTTTCAACGATATCGCGGAAGAAGTCCACAAGTCGTAATTGATTACATATTATTCCTTTCACACACCAAGTCGAGCGAAAGGGACCTCCTGAAACTAAGAACTGAATTGACAACACGTTTGTACTGATGCAACAAATAATTAGAAAAACGATTCGCCCAAATTAGCTGTGTATTTTTTTATCATGATTTTGGCCGACGGACAACCAGTATTCATATGGAGGAATGTCGATGTTCATTGGATTAGTCTATTATGTGCAGCATAGGCCTCATAACCAGCATATACACGTACACGTATATGGACCCTGCTGTTACCATAAGCATCCAGTGTGCCACGACGTGAAGATGTGTGAGAAGGGAAGATCTTCGTTGGCCGTTGGATTAACCCATCATGCGTAGTGTCAGTCTCATGATCGGCGTCGCACGCAGACATCGGTCTAAAAGTTACGATAAGTAGTCAAGGTGAATGACAGCTGGTACAGTTATGAGAAGGAGGGGTCGTCGTTGGCCGTTGAAATCAGCAACTGTGCATAGATGAGGTCTCATAATCATCGTAGCACATATACACGGACCTAGCAGTTACGCTAAGTAGTGAGTGACAAGGTGACAAGGTGCGTGAGGAGGACTGTAATGAATGAATTCCGTAGTTTGTTATCATTAAATTTTTGCTTTATGACGTAAAAACTTCCATCGGACACTCTGTGTGTGTTATATCACTCTTAAATAACAGTGAAAAACGCCAAAAAATGCAAAAGTGCTGTTCCTTAATTTATCTCTCGTGACCCGGTTACAAACTTAAACAAAATACCAAGAGCAACATATCTTCGAAGAGTGCAAACAAATTAGATTAAGTTTCCTTAAAACCACAGCCTCGAAAACCCGATAGTTCCGGTGAGAATAATTTGGGCGTGCTACTAGTGAGTGACCCACATTCTCGACTAATCAGAGCCTGCTTTGATCAAGTCTGGCCTGCGGACCATTTTTCAACCAATCGCTTGTGAGTCGGGAAATATGGCGATTGCAGTGCACAAATGTGAGCTGTAAGGCCTTCAAGGCTTGTGTGTAGTATACGGTGTTTGTCATTTTGATTGATTCATATGTAAGTATTGGCGATGTACAACCTTGCTTACTGGGCTTTGGCTCATGAGCTTTGTTTCTGTTTTCCATCCACAGAAATTGTCGTGAACACCTGCCTTCGGAGAATCACTGTCCCCTGGTGCTTCCATAGCGTGCATATTACATGTGTCCCGGCTACTGAGGCATTACAGTAGCTACAATAAGCCAGCCTCGGTAGATGCATGGAGATTTTCGATACGTTGTCGCCTGAATTTGCTGCATGCAGTGGTGTTCTATGCGATCATGGAAGCTCCACTTTCAGCTTCTAGTGCCTGTGGGGTTGGAGTGTTCCCAGGGTATTCGATTACATGTGTCAAGTACATAGGCTAAATGACTTTTCTTGGATCTGATGCCATGCCAATGTGTATAGCACTAAATAATCTACGGTTCGGTGTATGATTCACAACTGGGATATGTGGAATGCTGCTACAAGTGTAGGTAGGCTGGAAATTGGACCCCATGGCTGCAGATGAGCCGATTGACTTAGTAGCCTCATGGCTAGTGAATATCGCTATTATCACAAATTTTCGGTTTTTCATTTTTGTGACCTATGAGGAGTTCATGAAAGGCCCCGTAGGATTTTAATAACAAATACAACCTTACTTTGGTTTATATGCACTGCAACAGCTTTTTTGAGTGTTTGTTCCAGTGGCACTCCGTCTTTGCCTAAGGTGTAACGTTTTTTTAAAATACATTCCTCGGCGAATTACACGGTCTCTACATGCATGTGATGAGAGTGTTGTTGCCACAAATCAGTGATACCTAAAGGGTCATTCAGCGACTGTGTATAACTATACAGTCGAAAACGAGGTGTTTATCGTGCAGGTTCAATTTGTATGGGACGAACTAACGAGAAATTTTTTACGAGGTTGTGGAACTAGCATCAGCCGTGGGCAGTTGTACAAATGCAGTCAAAGGTTGCATCTGACGGGCGAGAGAGCTTAGTGGTTAGGGCGCGAAGTAACTGACCAGGAGGTCCGCGGTCCGAACTCGACCTCTGCCTCTCGACTTTCGCTGTACAGGTTTGGGTAACCTGGCAGAACCCCAGCCCGCGTGCTTCCCTCGCGTAGCAGTTGGGCACGTCGGATTCACTCCAGCAGCAGAAGCTTTTCATGTTATGGTTATCAGGGAGTTCTGTGGGTATGCCTGATCATCTACAAAAAAGGGCGTGTTTTTAACACCCAGCCCTTATAGACGGTTTGCACTGGACAGACTGGGGCAACAGGACGTGCACAACTATTCTCAAATGGAGCACTGCTAGATCTTCAAACCGTCCTAATTGGCGTCCACGTGATTCTCCTTGTGAGTGGGTAAAAACTCCACAGAACGTGGCACATAATCGTTCCAAAGGTGTGTTTACTATCACTTTTTAACCGAACTTCCTGCCTAATGTCCTTGTGTGCTAGGCCTGTTTTGTACGACTCTCACACGATACCACAAGATACTGACAGAGCTCAGCTGTGCGATGCTTAGTGTATTCATTTCAGTTAGTTTGGAAACAGTGCACTGCTCTTGGTTGTTTTTCCCAGGTCCGTAGGTATTTTTGCATTCAGTCCCCACCCCTGCCACTTTTCAGCTCTATCGTAGCTTTACTTTATTGTTGCATGGTACTTAAGCACCAGTTTCCTTCACTGATTTGTCGCTACTCAACATGACAATGGTGATGTATTTTCTGAACTGTGTGAACAAAACAAGTGTTTTTAATGGATGTTTTACTGGCTAATGCACACCTACCTCGTGTTCAGTCAGTTCTGCACAACAGCTTCACAGGTTCATTTCAGTTTCTGCTTATCTAGCCCGGACGAAGGACTGGACAAGTCGGGTTGTCATTGGAACCTCCAAATTGGATTGCTTGGTCCTTAAGTTGGTCACAAATCGACCACAATTCACCTGATCGTCATCTGGTATCTGGTATTCGCACTCGCAGTTTGTCCGGTTGTCAGAATGTTGACTTATTCACATTTTGCCTGCTCTTTAGTGTTCATTGTCACGTAGTGCCGGTTTCGCATGGTGTTCACTTGGTACACCAGAGTAAACTAAATGGATAGGTCCATAGAGAGGTCAGCAGACCCCTCAAAGATAAAGTGAGGGCGAGGTTATGGCATTATAGTCATCACTATCGACAGAACACCACTAATGCTTCGCAACCGTACAACCATGATTTATTTAAAAGCCTTATTGTGAAGAAAAGAATAAGAGTGGATAAAAGTGCTACTCCACCACAATCATTCCTACACTCCCAAATACTGTGGATAGAAACTAACAATAAGAACACCACTATGGTCGATGAGCAACCATATCTTGCAGCGTCTCCAATCATGCACAGTGTGGATCACGTGGATTCCATTCTGGAAAGCTAGTCGCACAGGAAGCGGCCCCCCATATCCCTATACCAGGTCAAAGTTTGACCACCACTACTTGCACCAGTCTGAATCGGCACGGGAAACATCACCCTTTTCGGTAAGTGATGGTTCAGCATACGCAATAGATGGCCAGATCACCGCAATTTAGGTGCTGACATCACGTGCCTGAGATCCGAATGATAATCTCGTCGATTCACTCTTCTGTTTTCCCGACCTAAAGGTGCCACCTTGACGTGGTGGTCGGGCTTGAGTGCTGCAATGATCCCGCGCGCTACACTTGCTGGAACTTCGTTCCAAAAAGTGCAACCATGCCAGGAAGGCCAAAGGGAGCAGCCAGACCAAGAGCAGCGAAACCCCGTACTGCGAGTAATCGTGGCACGAGGCGGTCTGGGCGTAAAGTCATGCTGTCCTCTGCGACAGGAGTGTGAAGGCAGTAAAGTGCTTCCCCCAGGCGATCAGCATGTCCATATTTATGGAAGCAGCGATGCTGCCTTCCCCCTAGGAAGGACAGGTTAGAAAAGGTCGGTCCAAAAAACCGCACACTCCGATCGCCCAACGGTTGACCGTGACCGCCGGCGCATTATCCAATACGGTCGAAATACTTTTAAAACCAAAGAGCCCGGTGCTGCTCAAAAGGCACCTGCTGTGCGCAGGCGCATCAGGAATGAGACAGTAATGCCTTATTCCTTGCGCCCTCGGGTTAGGCCAACCCCCTACAGCCGAGCAGGTCAGACTGTTGAGTCGTCGGCTCCGGGCAGGGTCCCCAAAGAAAACCCTACATTCTCCCACTGCCCCGTGGATCAGACTTTTCAGTCAAAGTCTAGGGTCAGGGTCCCCGAACCAAACCCCATTTTCTCCCACTGTCCCGTGGGTCAGACTTTTGAGTAAAGCCTTATTGTGAAGAAAAGAATAAGAGTGGATAAAAGTGCTACTCCACCACAATCATTCCTACACTCCCAAATACTGTGGATAGAAACTAACAATAAGAACACCACTATGGTCGATGAGCAGCCATATCTTGCAGCGTCTCCAATCATGCACAGTGTGGATCACGTGGATTCCATTCTGGAAAGCTAGTCGCACAGGAAGCGGCCCCCCATATCCCTATACCAGGTCAAAGTTTGACCACCACTACTTGCACCAGTCTGAATCGGCACGGGAAACATCACCCTTTTCGGTAAGTGATGGTTCAGCATACGCAATAGATGGCCAGATCACCGCAATTTAGGTGCTGACATCACGTGCCTGAGATCCGAATGATAATCTCGTCGATTCACTCTTCTGTTTTCCCGACCTAAAGGTGCCACCTTGACGTGGTGGTCGGGCTTGAGTGCTGCAATGATCCCGCGCGCTACACTTGCTGGAACTTCGTTCCAAAAAGTGCAACCATGCCAGGAAGGCCAAAGGGAGCAGCCAGACCAAGAGCAGCGAAACCCCGTACTGCGAGTAATCGTGGCACGAGGCGGTCTGGGCGTAAAGTCATGCTGTCCTCTGCGACAGGAGTGTGAAGGCAGTAAAGTGCTTCCCCCAGGCGATCAGCATGTCCATATTTATGGAAGCAGCGATGCTGCCTTCCCCCTAGGAAGGACAGGTTAGAAAAGGTCGGTCCAAAAAACCGCACACTCCGATCGCCCAACGGTTGACCGTGACCGCCGGCGCATTATCCAATACGGTCGAAATACTTTTAAAACCAAAGAGCCCGGTGCTGCTCAAAAGGCACCTGCTGTGCGCAGGCGCATCAGGAATGAGACAGTAATGCCTTATTCCTTGCGCCCTCGGGTTAGGCCAACCCCCTACAGCCGAGCAGGTCAGACTGTTGAGTCGTCGGCTCCGGGCAGGGTCCCCAAAGAAAACCCTACATTCTCCCACTGCCCCGTGGATCAGACTTTTCAGTCAAAGTCTAGGGTCAGGGTCCCCGAACCAAACCCCATTTTCTCCCACTGTCCCGTGGGTCAGACTTTTGAGTCAAAGGCTCAAGGTGGGGTACCTCAACCAAACCCCCTTCCTCGGCCTGGGCAACCGGGAAGTATCATTTGC